CCCGTACCACGATTGCTCGTAGTGCGGGGTCTCGCTGCTCTTGGTCTGGCTGCTCCCCTTGGCCTTCCTGGCATGGTTGCACCTTGTGGAACGAAGTTCCAGCCAATGTAGCCCGCGGGATCACTTCAGCACTCGAGCCCGACCACCACGTCAAGGTGGCATCTTTAGGTCGGCTTCATGCTCTACTGGTTATTCCAGCTGTCCAATCCAAGCGCACCGACCATGCCTGTGCGATTATACATAACTTTGGCCTGTCCCGATGGGGGGGGGTTGAGCACACTTCTACGAGATAGATAAACCCTTTTCAGGGGAACACTGCATTGCCAACTGACCAGTCATCATTCGTTCTGATCATTTAGCCTGCAGGCAGGGGTAGGTTTACATTTCTGGCGCGCTGATGCAATGTTTTGTTTTAACCAAGGCTGACTGCTGAGTAGACTCCCTTCATCTGAGACCGGTGTCTTACGCTCTTCGCTCCGAGACTTACTTTTGCAACTGTCCATCAGTTGATACGGAATTCATTTGAGTTAGCATGTGTGTGTGTGTGTGTGTGTGCGCGCGCGTGTTTGCATACTTCAACTAACTCACCTGTTCTCTTGACAACTCACTTTTCATAAGATTGTTGGTTTCAAGTAGAACATAAGTTTGACGGAAATCCGGGGACTGCGCCTACCTGATGAGCCCCCAAAAAGGGCGAAACCGGTCGTGGGCTGTCGGTGGATTTTCAGCAACCTTTTGAGTAGTACATTACAAAGATTGTTGGAAACCGTTTGACAATCCACTACTGGTTTCTCTCGTGTATGAGTTATGTCAAGAAACTCTACGTCGCTACTTCGAATAGTGAGGCGGCCTGTATACAGCAAATTCACTTGAAGAATACCATAGACTAGAGGTGTGTGTGTCTTATGCTTCACTGTCGTGATGGGATGAAGCCATCCATGACTCTGTTATTCCCTGAGGTAGGGAACGACGACCGTGTTGATCAGAGAATCACCACCATTCAGTTATCACACACGCGGAGGTACCCAAGACTCGAAAACCTGGGGGAAATCGTTCAGCTGTAGCACCCTTTCGGTGCCTAGCTGCCATGCCACCCGGAGGGCTGGGATAGGGCCAGCTTGTCCAAGCCTAGACGCGGGAAGTCGAGAGGCAGAGGTCGGGTTCGAACCATGGTCCTTCTGGTCAGTGAATTCGTGCTGTGAGCCGAAAATCGGAGAGAGCAAATGTGGGTAGATAAATCCTTAGGCCTATACGTAACGTAAGCCCAGATAAGAGTAATCGAAATGCAGAAATTGGGTTCGAACCACGGACCTTTTTTGTGCCACTGAACCATCTTGATCTCTCCTTGTTCGACCTTCAACACTGCATCACCAACTGGTATGAGAAGTCCAATCATTCCAGCTAACTCGTCACTTTTCTGTTGTCTCATCAAATGGTGAACAGACGAGAATCGGTTGCACTGTCTAATGGACTAAATTATACCATCATATTCGGATCGATATGGCTGAATTGCGCGTTTCCCTTGCCCAATACAAGTTGATCACGTGAACAGATTATCCATTATTACGGTTAACGTTGGTCCTGGGATTTTGACGCGAGGTAGCGGCTTACTACAACCATCGACCTGAGCTCACCTATTACAAGGCACTTTCAAGGCTGTTTGAGACACTGCTTATCGATGGGTACTTTATAGAATCACATAGTCCAGCAATGTCCTTCGGCATTGTTGATGTACTACCTGTTTGGACGTTTGGGGGATTGTGCTAAATCCCATACACGGATGCCTCACTGCCGTACAACCACGGAGCTTATGTAACCATATTTAATGGAAAGAAAAGAAGAGGGGACCTGTTGCTGGCCTATTGCAAGCATTCTGAGGTGCCCACATCTCCAGGCGCACAGTCAGACACTCTGGAACGAAACTGACAACATGCACGCCCATCAGCCGCCATTTGTTGCAATGTTTCCAATCGAGTGAAGGAGGGGTCACGGGGACCCCATCCTGGAAGGCTTAATGCAACCACAGAACCCAAACTCTTCTCCTAAGTCACACGTTGTCCACCTCGCGGTTTGCGCCATTCTGATGGATTCATTGGGTTTCTTCGGAACAACTTTATGAGCAAAAACCAAAACGGACACACCGGAAAGTGGTATAACCTACAGGAGAGTCTCCTCGACTTACGATTGTTGACATTCTTGTCGGTTAAGTTGTTCGCTCGACCTTGTTGAACGTGTTTCGTTGACGATCGGGTCAGCAAATTCGCGCTCTAACCACTGAGCCATCCCGCAACCGAAAACCAGAGAGAGAGATTCTCCCTCTCTTTGGATGACAAGTCATTTGTCAGTACGGTCACCATATTTCGGATCGATAGCATAGCACCATTCTGCTACGCACTGAGCATGTCACCTCGAAGGTCCGTGGTTCGAAAGATTTCGGATCGATGGCATAGCGCCATTCTGCTACGCACGGAGCATGTTACCTCGAAGGTCCGTGGTCCGAACCCGACCTCCGCCTCTCGACTCCCCATGTCTAGGCTTGGGCAACTTGGTAGTATCCCAGCCCTCGTGCTTCCTCCGGCACCGAGAGAGTGTTACAGCTGAACGATTTTTTGGGCAAAAAAGTGATCTACTCGACGTCAGTGACGGGATATTTCATAAGTGCGTTACCAGAGCTGGCCATCAAATGCGACAATTTGCCAAATCTAGCTAGCTGATGCCATGGTGGCAGAGTCCCCTCCTCTCCCGCAAATAAAAATAGTACAGAAAATTACCGAAGAATGCACTTTCGGTTCATCGCAAGGAGTTTACGGGAAGCTAAATACGGTCGAACCATTCTGAGCTTCTTTGAGAGAACAGTGTCCCACCCTGCATTGAAACAAAACCGAGTCCTCTGTACTCGCTGCTCCCCATCAGTACTTACCGAGTTCATAACCACCAGCCACCCCTGCCTAGTTGGTTCAGGTGCTCAGGCCAACAGGCCTTCATCACTTAACTATCCCTCCATCCGTAGCACGTTTTTCTTCGCTCTCTTGTTTTTCTGGAGCTTGGATGGTTGTTTTTGGGACTTCGTGCCGATCAGATATTGTCTCTGCCGTGGCTAGTAATAAGAGCGCACTTCCTACTTCGACTGAGTGGTCCTCACAAGACAATGAGTTGTACCGTTGTCCACCGTCAAATTTTCGGTTCAATGCAGTCATTTTCTACGAAGCACGTATTACTTGTTGGGAGGGATACTTTGTTTCCGTTTTCAGTCCACGCACAGACCAAACTAGACAGCTTCTCGAGCGCATCCCATTCGCGAAGAAGCCGCCTGTGAACCTCGATCTGGTCCTCAGATAAGGAAGCCTTATTCTCCCGTTTTTCTTGCTCTCTTTTCAGGCGCATCGATGGGCAAACGTGGCCATGATAAAATTCGATCCAACGGGCAGTCTTCTGTTTACCGCATGCACCCGGGGTCACACATTCAACCTATTTCGGATCTCTAGTCACCCGTGGGATCAACGTCAGACCGCGGTCCATCACCTCTACATTCTTGAACGTGGCACAATGCCGTGTGAGGTGAGATTGTAGGTCTTTTCACGCACATACTACTTGAGAGCGATTTCAATTGCCTCCGTTCCTGTGGTTCGTTTCGGTGGCTGCACTGTTTGCATTCTCAGTCGAGTGAAGTCTAGTCTATATCGCTTTTTTCGGATACTTCTTGTCTACTGAAAAACTAGCTAAGTTGGGAAAAGCACGTCTGTGACAATTTGGATCGAGCTGGCTGTGAGTCTGTCTAGAAGCGAGGAATGTGGCTGAATGTGGCTTCCGTTGATCACTACGTCGGGATTCTGGTACCGTACTTTTCTACTGTCCGTTCCTTGAGTCCTCATCGTTTGACTTGTTGCTTCATCATCGGATGCCTCCCCCTCCTGAGCTGAAAAAAAACAATTTGACGAGAACATCTACTGGTCAACAATGTGTGTGCACTTGTATTGCCGAAATCAATTGATGCTCAACCAACAATGTTCTCTTACGGTCACTTAGTCGAGAGCTCAAGAATTCGTAACGTTTCCATTCATTTTGTCTCGCTGTTCGCTTACTCCTGTTCACTGTGCGTGGTTTTTTCTCTCGTTTTTTTATGCACACACATATTTGCGTCCACACATACGCACGCACGCACGCACGCACGCACGCGTCAGCAAGCTCAGTCTGAGAAAGCTATCAGTTTGATTTTCGCTCACTCTTGAATTCCGTCGATCAAGTTTCACGGAACTATGCTCGATTGACACAACAGAGTTCAAAAGTGAGCGCTAATCACACTGACATGCGCTGAAGCATTCTCAGTCAATTTCTTCGGCTTAGTTTCTCTTTTAGTTCTCTTTTCGACCGGTCATCACGGGTCAGACCTATTCGGGACGCCGAACTACCCGGGCACTGCTGAAGCCTTTCGTTTGCGGGCGGTGGTATCACTCAGCAGTAGACAAACATCGTTTCTCCTTTCGTTACCTATTTTTAATTGAGAATCCGCCCCAAGAAGTTAGAATATGATGACAGGAGTGTCCATTATTCAGGTAGACGCAGTTCTCAACATTTCGTCTATCGTTTCCTCACTTAGGCGCATCAGTTTATGTGAACTGTAACGCTCAGTCTTGGATGAACTGGTTTTGACATGACCTCTGAGTTTAGTCCGGAAACCCGGCATACTCTGTCTGCGAACAAAATCAAGGAAGTTAACTTTGGATTTCATACTGTAATCACAGTCGATCTAAGCAGAAAACCCGAGAGGATGTCCCTTTTTCTCTGAGGCACAATACCAATACGTATCCGATGAATCATCGCAGGGGCTCGAACCCGTGACTCTTCAGCTAATAGTTGGAAAATATACATTCTGCTCAGGTTTAGCTGATCAGTAGTGTGAGTGACCTGCACTTAGACAAGATATGGTGCCATTCATCCTTCACTCACGGGGACCACATCACTTGTTCACGTATTGACTGATGCCAGACTTCTCAAATAGAAGTTTCACTCATCTTGTGAAATTATCCTTCCTCTGGGCTACTTGTAAACCGATGGTAGTGTGAGGGGATTCGATAATCTTTCAATCTAAGTGCAGCTAGCCACTAGTGGTCTAGGTTCTAAGTGTTCATACTATTGGCTGAGAGGTCGCGGGTTTGAAACTCCTAACTGGATTTTTTCTTGAGGTGTACACTTCTGGTGATTTCCAAATAAGGATGAAACAACCGTACAGTGAGTCTCAGCTTCACTGGCAGGATGGGAGCTGCTACGAAACTGGGTAGGATCAACGCTAAACCTCATGCTTGAAGTCGAGGTAGATAAATTTGTCTACCTGGGCAGCTGTATAAGTTCCGTTGGAATGGCTCGACTTAAGATTACCACGGGAAGGCAGTCTCTGCCAAACCTACGGTGCCGGTGTGACGTCAAGGGCAGAGTTTACACTGTAACAGTGTGATCAAAACTGCTTTACGGTTTGAAAATGGCCTCCACGCACAGTGGAGGGTCTCGTCGGAACTTCGGGTTAGCAATTCCAAGGCACGTCAAATGTCTTTGGAGAAAGGAACTCTCCTGTGATAGACGGATTACTCACGCTTCACGCGTCACGCTGGTTGGGACATGTACTCCGCGTGCCAGAAGACCGTCTGCCCCGTAGAGCTGTTTTCGCCCAGCCCTGTGCTGAGTGGAGGTGACCGAGAGGTGAGCAGTGTAGGACTTGGCAACGAAGTATGCAGTCACTACCAGCCAACTCAGTCGGGTCGATAACTGCTGCCTCCCTGAATGGAGATCTCGGGACTTAACTTATCAATCGTTAATGACGCTGGCAAAAACGGCTAAATCGCGCAGTCAGTGGCGCTCGTGCATCAAAGCTATCACCTTCAATGCTGTTCCAGAACCTGATGATCATGCCATCGTCTTCAGTGCTCCGCTGTATCTCCCACATCCTCGTATTTTCCGGTGACCGAAACCGTAGCAGCTGGAACCAACGTACACTTGTTGGTACATGGTTTATAGCTGATCAGGTGAACTGAACTATGCACTACAACCCCCTTGGAAAGGCGTGTTAAGTTGCCGAGTACAAAATACAACAGAAAGAACCCTGTTCAAAGGAGTCGAATCCTTCTATTCTTAATAAATGGAAGCCTGTCGCGTTGAAAACCAAACTTCAGAGAGCCAGCGAAGTAAAACAAAAAAGTGCTATGACAGGCGGATAGATACCAGCGATTGATTTCCGTGGTGGAGGGTTGAATGGCGCTCTATGCTGCCTGGGTGCGACTTAATTACACTGCAGAACAGCCGCTCGTGATCAGTTATTCAAGCTACTGACCGAGAGGTTATGAGGTGCGCACCGCTGACCACTTCCAGCAAAGACTATGACAGGCGGATAGATACCATCGATCGATTTCCGTGATTGAGGGTTGAATGGCGCTCTATGCTGTCTAGGTGCGGCTTAATTACACTGCTAAACAGCCGCTCGTACTTAGTTGTTCAAGCTACTGACCGGGAGGTCGCGGGATTTCCATGCGATACGCACCGCTGACCGTGTCCAGGAAAGATGAAGCGGATGTACAGTGCTTCTCCTTTTTCCATCATAAATTGGCTTCACCTACAGGACGAAATTCCAATTGAAGATTGCCAAATCTACGCACGAGAACTGTTGGAGCCCCAGTGATGGCACGCCTATCCGCGCTGGGTTACCCAGTACTGAATTCACAATAGGTCGCTTGTCTAGATAGAGCGACCCCACACACGTGCTCGAGTTTCCGATATTTTTCCGATCTAAACTTTACTGTCCCTAGGCAATCGATCAGTCCTCCCATCACGTGCTTCTACAACTTCCTGTCTGGCATCTACCCATTCCGGGGGAAAAATGACTGGAAAAAATGACTGTTGTCTGGTGTTTGCCGTCATTTTTAAAGGTCATACGAAACTTTGGGACGTTTTTTTATTGGGCTAGTTTATAAAATCACATCTTACCTGTCCTGTCCACTGAGCAGAGGAGGGTCTCCAAATGTTGTCGTGCTATCTGATCTTGCCGAATGACGGCAGACTGAATGTTATCATTCTTTTTACCTGAAATGCTGTCTGTTGATTTCAAGGTCATACGAACAAACTACAGGTGCGATATTCCGAAATTTCGGTACGTTTTCGTCCTCTTCTGGATAGTGGAAAATGTCCCCAGTTTGCAACCTATATGAATGATTCCCAATTACAAATCACAGAGAATACCAAAGCATCAGAGTTGTATTACCACGAGAAAGCGAGTTGCGTTGTAATACGGAGCACTGTACCATTCTGACAGGTGGTTTCCACCTGTCCTGGGCAAGCTGCCTTGTCAACTGCTGTAACAGCAAAGTTTCTAATGTCGTGGGATGAAAACGGTGTTATTCGCGTGGGATGTAAAGTCACCCCCTGGAACCATCAGCTGTTAAGTGTCGATTCATTGTGCATATCACCTGGTCGTTTTTAGACTCTTCACTGCATTCTTTTGTCTGTCTAGTAAGTTCGTTAGCTTACTCGTTGCGTCCTTTGGTGTCGGTAACGTTGTGAACATCTTGACGCTCGATTAGACTACGAATATGTGGACACGATCAACACTTGCCTTCGTGGGCGTGATCATTGCATCCTCCAGGATGCACCGTCCAGGAATACACCTCCAAAGGTGTATTTCATGAGCAAAGCTTGTCGGGTGCTTGTACAGAGAGAGGAGTTCTTCGTGAGAGAAAGCCAATCAGCTGATACACACCCATCCTTTAAGGCCATGGTCCTTCTATGTTCTATGGACATCTGATCAGCTGTTTGTTGCGTCGTCGTAAATACGGGCCGGTAGATTTTCATCTCAAATAGCTCCGGAGAGAAAATAGATGGTCATTAAGCTGGGACCTTACTTGCGGTAAGGAAGTTGGTGGTGCTCAGGGTAAGAGCCTGAGTGAAATCCACGTTCAGACGCCTACTTGGAAGTGAAGACTGTCCTGAGATACGGAACAAGTCCAAAACTATTCCCACCCGTGCGACGCAAGAAATGTGCTGACATCCCTATCAAACCAGTGATCACACTTTCGAACCAGTCATCATCATTGTCAGCTGTAATAACCGCGTACTCGTCGTACTGTGGTTGTAGCTGCCGCAGTTTCGTTCACCGATGATTT